TCTCTCTCCTCGGTCGGTTCTAGCTGTAGGGTTCGGTAACGTTAGTAGAGTGACCGTTACGTCAACTACATACTAAACCAACGTACAGGCCGACGACCGTCGCTACTCTCTCTCTCTCTCTCTCTCTCTGGGTAGTTCAACAGTGGGATTTGAACTGGAGACCGTTACAACCATCAACACCTTCTGGAGACTGTTGCAACCATCAACACTGTAACCAAGTATGCCCAAGCCTGATTCTACTCTCTCTCTCTCTCTCTCTGGGTAGTTCAACAGTAGGATACGAACTGGAGACTGTTGCAATCATCAACACTCTAACCAAGTACCGATGCTATTGCCTCTCTCTCTCTCTCACACACACACTCATGCGCACATGCACACACTCACTGGCACACAACTAAATGCAACTCTCTTGTTTGCTGCAGAAACGTTTGCTAGTCATGAGATTGATGCTTTACACTCTGCTATTGAAGCTTTGAGTGTGAGGTTGAGAAGACACGTTCCGCTGTCTCCGGGCAGTGTGACGAGCTCTCCTCGACAGACACTACCAGGAAGGAGGAAAATTCCTGTACCTGACATTCAAATCTCGCAGTTGAAGTCCTCTGTTGCAAAGCTTTCACTTATTAATAGTGAGAATACAAAGAAAGTCAAGCTTGTTGAGACTACATTGAGGAAGCAAGAGACTAGAACGGATCTAAAAAGGTGATACGCTGATCACCTGAGCTGCTATGTCTTTGTCCAGGCTTCACTTCAGGAGCCAAGGACATCAAGGAAGTGCTGTGATGCCATCCAGGGGAGGGGAGGGGAGGGGGATTGCGGGGGGAAGAGAGGCTTTGGTTAGGGAAGATGAGGAAATCAGTTTTAGTCTGTTCAATCTCTTTGATGTTTCTTTCTGTGCATCTTATCCACAAGTTTTCTGTATGTCATCTGTAGATTGCTTAGCTTTCTTAGATACATGATCATCAATGTCACATGGTTTCCTATATTGCAGGAAGTTTTCCTCATGACATCAGTTTTTGGCCTACTTCTAAGTCTTGAAACTTGGCTGACCAGTTCGCCATGTTATGGTCGCCTTGTACTGTTTGTGAAGTACTTCCATGTATCTGGGTTTCACCTTCCACTTGAAAATTGTAATGATGGGGATCCTTGTGAATGCAAGGAGAAACCAATCATGGAATGCGCATGTACTGATGGAAACATGCATAGATCTGTTCATTCGGAGCCTTAACTTCAGCATCTCTCTCTCAAAATACATGTAAAACAAATTTTAAAAGCAAACCAAATAGGCCGTTTAGAGTCCGTCTCAAAATCCAATATGTAAGTTTCAAGACTCTAAACTGTCTTAAAAAGTGTTTGATTCAGAGCATTTTCTGAATTCTAACTTAATTTCTTCTTATGAAATTAATCTCGAGGGTTGCTAAATATCATTAGAGAATTCCTAGATAAAAAATCCCCTTAATTTTCTTGGCCGACAGAATATCTCGACCACAGTGGATTGTGAGACCACCAAATTCTTGCTTTTCTTAGGTAGTTAACTCAAGGTATTCGGAATTGGTTCCCCTTCTGTGCTATGTTTTGGCCAAACAAGACTCCTTCACTTTTTTCCGAGTCTTAGTTAAAAAGGGGCATTTACGCTAGTCACTTCCACAATGACAGACATTAGAAAATATTTCTTATGTTTGTATATCTTTTTTTTTTTTTGACTTCTCACATTTTCAAACTGACAGTTCCATAAGCAGTGATAAAGAACCTGATTCAGAACTAGTGGTTCCATATCGATATTTTGTATATAAAACACTAGTTCAAAGTTAACAATTATGGCTCGAACGAGTTGATCAAAACTACTAGCTCTAAACTAGTGTTTTCGGTTTCGAGTAGTAGTTCCCAACAGAAGATAAGAGGCATCTCTCTGAAACTCCTAGTTTTGAACCAGTGTTACACGAAAATGTTACTAGCGAACCAAGTAGTTTCCAATATGCGATAAAGCTAATGATTAAGATCAGCTAATTCTAGGGGGCATCTTAAGGGGAAAAATAAGGAAAATCATAAATTTTCATAAATATCCTTTTTTATGCATTATTTAAAATATTTAATGTAATTTTTTTTACATTTTACACCTATGTCCTTTTTTTTTTTTTTCTCAGGTTTTCCAATGGCATTGGGTTGGCACTCCAGGAGGTTGAGTCGACACACAAGTGTCGACCTGCACGATGAATTTATTACATGGCTTCATAGTGAGTGCCAATCTAACTTGAAGCTCATATTCTGACCTCGATGACTAAGCTTTTTTTTATTTTTTTTTAATTTTTAATTTTTATTTATTTTTAACATAGGTGACCCGATTTGTTCATTCATTCTCTGTTTCAATCTTTCTCTTTCTAACCCACCATGTAGCAAATCTAAAATGGGGTCAGGATCTCAGCCTGAGGTACTGCTAACCGAAGTGCATTCTAGAAAGAAATAAACGGAAAGGGAAAAAAATAGGTGTAAAATGTAAGATTTATGCAATATATTTTAAATTACAAGACATCTATATTTTTAAAAAGAGACATTTGCGGAAATTTCCAAGAAACATTTTTTAATGAAAAATGTTTATATAAAGTTGACACCTTAAATTGTAGAATTAAGGTGCATGTATAAAATTCTTCAAAAAAAAGTTGTTTTTGTTGTTGGAAAAACATCTAATATCATCTCTACATCATATGATGCATATATATGAAGAAAAAAGAGATTTTAAGGCTTAAAAAGTGTACATCTTCCAACACAATTGCTAAAGGGTGCGGTTTTCATGTAGCCCAGGCTCTAAACAATCAAATTAGAGCCTACCTTTAAATAGTATCGAGAAATGTAGTTTCAACATTGGAAATCTTTGTGATAGCATTAAAATATATTTTTATCTTTATTTATAAAACTTAAAGCTTCAAAAATTGTATAGATGACATATCTATGAAAACTTGAAAATTTTGAAAATTGACAGTAAAAAAATGTATTACAAAATATATTATTTCCAAAACTTAAAATCAATTTTTTTTCTCATGTTTATGCATCTTGATGTCAAAATAATCAATTTAAGGATTTTTGGGCATCAAAACAATTTGGTCTAGTGAAAATTTTGAGATAGGCTCGAATGTGATTGTTTAGAGCCTTGGCTCTATATAAACTTTTTCCACAGCTAAATCATCGATTTTCAAGATTTTCATAAGTTTATAAATCTGTTTGATTTAAATCATTTATGAAGTGTATATTTTTTTCTAATTAAAAATAAAAATAAGTTTCATTCTAAAAACATATGTTTTAGGATGAAAGTTACCGAAAGAAAATTAATTGGAGGGAAGTTGACTAGAAAATCAAAGGGGGGGTGGTGTATGCAATTTTATCTAAATAAAATGACAATAGCTACATGAAAAACCCAAGTTCGATTAGCGCGCATTTTGGCACATTTCCAAATTCCCCGCCCACCCAGCTACATAGCCTCCGAAGGTATTCCTATTCTTAGAGAGAGAGAGTTCTGATTTTTGTAGAGAGAGAGATCCGATTTGGGTCACAGTGTATTATTTACCCGAGGATCAAGAAGCAGAGAGGGGTGTTTTTTGCGTGGAGAAATGGGGGGTACGGACTTGAGGGTATTGACTGAAACCCCCCTTCTTCACCTTGTGCTTCTTGTTTGCTTTGTGATGTGCAGTGAAGCCGTATGGTTAACTCTCCCACCCTCTGGTACAAAGTGCGTCTCAGAGGAGATCCAGAACAACGTTGTCGTCGTGGCCGATTACGCGGTCCTCTCTGAGGATCCCTCCCATGAAGGAGCCACCGTTTCTGTAAAGGTACTCTCTCTCGCTCTCTCTCTTACAATAATTACGATTCTTCGTTCAAGATCTGATCTGTGGATAATTTACTCTCTAGTCAAGCACTTGATATGTTTTTTGGTATTCGAGTTTCGAGCTCTGATTGGTTCTTTTGCTCAACAAAGAAGAATAAAAAGGTTTAATTGAATTGGTTGTAGGTGTTTCTTAACAATTATGGTTTTTTACATGAGTTCCAATTGGGTTTAGACAATTTTTGATGAATCTAATTGTTTGATTACTAAATTGGTTGGCCAGGTCTCGGTTTTCCAGCTCTGATTGGATTTTTTTATTTTCCTCAAAAAAGCAAAAGAATCACAATATTTGAGTTCATTCTGATTTTATGTTAAAAACTATTGTTATGGATTTCCAATAAGGATAGAGAGATTTTCAGGAATCTGGTTTTGGTATTCAAACATGACCTTTCTAAGGTTTGCTTTGTTTAGAATTAATACCTAGATAGCCTTTTTATCGAAATTGGAATGCTACGAAGAAGTTGTTTGGGGTTGAATCTTTACAACTAACCTAACCTGATGTTATTCAGGTGCTCAGTATCAGCAGCTTCCATTTTGAGGAATCCTAGATACCTTTTCAGTTTTAATCAGTGTTAGGAAACTCTTGACTCACTCCCGAATTCGTCATGGACCCGGAGCGCTTGAGGGATCCTAGATACCTTTTCAGTTTTAATCAGTTTTAAGAAACTCTTGGCTCACTTCCAAATTCGTCATGGACCTGAAGCAAGTCAGCTTGGTGCGCCTGATTGAACTGACCGAGTTTTTACCAAATCTGGGTGAGTTGCCCTGAAAAATCCCCAAAGAAATCAGAAAAAAAGACAAAACAGTAAAAAGAGAAATTATAAAAAAATCATAAAACATATATACAAAATGGAAATTGGTAAAAATTAATGTTATTGGCTTACATTTTGTTTCAAGTATAAGAAAAATGAGAAAAAAATGGTAAATGGTGTTTTGATTTTCATAATCTATCAAGTCAGAGAATTGAGTGGTTCATGATAAACAAGCCTATAATTTGATAAATAACTACAAAACAGGCAGAATTTTATGGTATTTAAAATTATAGTGGGTTGTTTCTTTCCTTGTTTGGCAAGTTAAGTTAGCTTTCTAATTTTCTTTACGTGTTTAGAAAGGTTCTTTCCATGTTTTTGTAAGCTTCAAATTTCTGAAATTTATAAAGGAACTAGTTGCCTGATTTTGAAAGAACCTAGAAGATTAGGATGTTTACGGAAGTAGAGATAGTTCTCACTCAAAGCTAAGTCAAATATTGAGGGATTTAAACATCTATAAATACCCATGTAGGCCTATGGCTAAATAAATCAATAAATTAATAAAATTTAAGTTTTTAATTGTAGTGAGAAGTCACCATTAGAGGAGAGATCAAGTCTAGCCTGGGATGGGGAGAGTATGCCCCTAAAGGTGGAAGCCTCCTTTCTTTTGGTAGTGAAGAGTTTCCTCATAATCCTAGCTTGTGGTTTGGATATTCTCCCCACGTAAGCATCTATTACTTCTTCTTCCCTCTTGTGTGGCACTTTTCCTTCCAAGATTGAAGTTATCAAATGTGGGATGCGGATGTGATGCTCTATGCACTCAATGTGTTCTCGATGAGGGCAAATAACTTCCATGCTGTCAATAAGTTTAGTATACAAATACACACATGTGTGTGTGTGTGTGGGGTAAGCACTTTCCAACGCCTATAGGCAAACTTGTATAGCTCGCCACCTGTTTTCCTTGGACGATGGGAATGTGGTAGGCAAACTTGTATAGTGATTTTTCTTATAAGCTCGCCACCGTCTGTTTTCCTTGGACGATGGGAATGTGGCACCGCTATAGCTCTATTAGAGTCGTTACGGTACCGCTATGGGCATAATAGGTTCTGGCAGTCAATCTTTTGCTTTCACCACGGATGGAATCACGGTTCATTTTTGCCTATAGGCATTAGAAAGAGTTTCGCGGGTGGAATCACTGTTCATTTTTGCCTATAGGCATTAGAAAGAGTTTTCTTATATATATATATATATATATATATATAGAAAACCATTACGCAACGCCTATGGGCGAAATGAATAGTGTTTTCACTTGATGGCATGGATAATCAACCGTTTTGGACATACTTTGTCCATTGCGGTCGATGTATCCCTCGAAAATCATGCAAAACCGCAATGGATCTATGAGAGCTGTTGCGGGGCGAAATCACTGTTCAATTTTTCCCCATGGCATTGTTAAGGGTTTTCCATATATATATATATAGGGAAAATGACCTCGACCCCCCTCTCTGAGACTTCATCCTTGTTAGCCCATTGGGTTCACAAAGATCCCTTGTACCCCCTCAAGTTTAAAATTTTGAGACTGTGAGCCCCCTAATTGGGTTTTTCTTTGTTGTTTTTATAAATTTGATGTTTTTATTTAACAAAAATGCTCCGATACCTTTCCCTTTTGTTGTCTACAACCAATCTTACCTCCATAGATCCCACTCTATAAATTTAGATATGAAAAGAAAATGATTTTTTCTTTAATATTATGGCCTATTTTACAATTGCATCAATATCTTTTGAACTTGAAAAATGATTAATCAAGATCTTTGTTACTATTGTTAGTGGATTATTATTATTTATTTATTAAAAAATTTATCAAATACCTATAAGAGATGAATTATTTAATAATTAATATATTATTATTGTTATTATTATAATTATTAATATTATCATTATCAAGTCAATGACTAATGTATGGGTTTGGCATTTTGTAAAACAAAGAGATCAAATTTGTAAAAAGAACAAAGAAAAATATAATTAGGGGCTAATGGTCCAAAAGTTTAAACTACAAGGGGGTAGCTAGGGATTTTGGTGTAACCAAGGGACGTAATACGGATGGAAATTTCAGGAGTCGTGGGAGGCGAAGGCACACAG